GTGATTTAATTAATACAGTTTCTATGTGGTTATTTCGGGGCTAAGCTAGCCAGGCGGCCAGGACAAACAAGCGGGCCCTCCTCCTACACTCCAGACCCTTTGTCTGTCTTTCCTTTGTATTCTGGCCATGAAGTGATCATTTTTTTCTCTGCCACATGGTCTCCTCCATGTGTTACCTAGCACAGTACAAAGACACAGAGTCAAGTGATCAGGAACGGGAACCTCTGAAACTATGAGACAGAACAATCCTCTTTCACTGAATACATTCATTGTCTCAGGTATTTTCATTATAATGATAGACTATGAACTACCCTGACTGACTGTTCAGTATTTTTCTCTAAATAATTGAACTATTTCACCAGGATAGAGGCTCCTTAAGACTCAGGAAGTAAACAACTCCTAAGTCTGAAGAAGTTCCCAAAATTTAAGTCATAGAGTGTTGCCTTCATGCTCAGCAACACCCAGTGCTCACCCTTCATCTGGCTTCCAGAACAAAGTCAGCACTGTATAACTTTTTCCGGGGAGACACAAACAAATATCTGCTTGTAACATGAGGGCTGGCTTGTTGGGGTTTCTGTCCCTCCTGGTACCCCAACAGCCGGCAAGCAACAAAGAAAATCACACACAGGACTCCATAAGGTTATAAACTGATTGGCCCATTAGGTCAGGCTTCTTGTTAACCCTTGTAACTTATATTAACCCATTATTATTATCTATGGTAGCCATATGGCTTGGTACCTTTTTCAGCGGGGCAGCTTACATGTTGCTTCTTCAGTGATCTGCGTAGGAGTGGCTGAGGAACCTTTCTCCTCCCTAGCCTTATCCTATTCTCATTACTCCACCTCTACTTCCTGTCTGGTTGACCCGCCTATACTTCCTGCCTGGCCAATCAGCGTTTTATTAAAATACATGATTGACAGAATACAGATAATTCTCCCGCACCATTTCCCTCTTTTTTTTTTTTTTTAAACAAAGGAAAATACCCATAGTCCATTTGTTGGGAATGTGGGCGTAGTATTTCAGGCTACTTCCTGCTGGTTGGGGGCACTGATAATCTTATGGGGACCTAAAGAAAATTTAGAGTTATAATCAAGTTCTGACTGGAGTATCCTGTGAGTCTTGATCATCTCAGGCAGCAGTCTTGAATCTGTTCTGGATGTAGAACTCTGTCATCTGGGCCATCTGTTCCTGTTGGAGATTTCTCAGGTGGCCTCCCTTGGACATACTGGATTTTTCTTAACTCAATGAATCCACAACCTCTCATTTCCTGTGGAAACAAAAGCAAAATCTCTTCTCCAAAGTAACATACCTTTTGACTTCAGTTTTGAAGCCAAGGTATTTTCAAAATACCTATCTTGGGTTAGTTCAGCAGCATTTATAAACAAAAGTCCTTTAGCAGCTGTTGCTCCTTCCTCAGCATTCAAACAATTCAAAGAGATCATAATAGTATACAATATCAAGATTCTCTGTGTATTTTCCATCTTTATGTGGCTTTACTTTAACTTCTATTTCCTTTATTTTTACTTTTACTTTTAGATACAGGTTCGCTGTATATCTTTGTCCTGGAATAACTCTGTAGACCAGGCTGTCCTTGAACTCACAGAGATCCTTCCCTCTCTGCCTCCCCAGTACTGGGCTCAAAGGTGTTTGCTACCACACCTTGAACTCACAGAGATCCATGCCTCTCTGCTTCCTCAGTGCTAGGATTAAAGGTGTGTGCTACCACACCTTGAACTCAGAGATCTGTCTGTCTCTGCCACTCAGGCATTGGGATTAAAGGTGTGTACCACCACACCCAACTACTCTCTTTCTTTCCTTTTAACTTTAAGAACTTTAACTTTCAGTCTGCATATACACACTGTAAACCATTTAGAAATTTTCTTCCTCTTTGAATCTCTCTTTACTGTATATTTTTCTTTTTCTGACACACATGAGCCTTTAATTTACTAAGCAATATGGAGAGCAGTGGCTTTGACGGCTAGATCCAGCCCACTCCCCAGCTCTCCAGTCTCATTGCTGAGATACCAGCCAGAGCTGTGTTCACTGCCAAAACTCTATGGCGTTTCAAGGTCCTTGCCAGCAAGCTGCAGCATTCTGCTCACAGACCACACTCAGTTGGACTGCCTGCCTGAAAGAGTCAGAGTTTGCCCTGGCAGGACAGCCCAGAAAACCAGCACTTTAAAACAGCGCAGCTTTTTTCCTGCTATGACTGAAAACCAAAAAGCATGCGCTCAGCTTTTCATCAATACTAGCTAAGTGTTTCGTGGCAGGACCTTTTAAAAGAGCTGCAAAGTTTTGCAGCTAAAGCTGAGTCAGGAAGCCTCTCTTAGATGAGAGCACTTGCTTGCCTCTAGCAAGCAGAGCAGACCCGAGAAATTGCTGCTACCAAGGAAACATGCTTTACTCTATTTTTTCCCAAGCTTTCCCAAGCTTTCTGTGGATTCAGTTATCCACGTGGGCACCATATGTAACATGAGGGCTGGCTTGTTGGTCTGGACAGGAATGGCTGAGGAACCTTTCTCCTCCCTAGCCTTATCCTATTCTCATTACTCCACCTCTACTTCCTGTCTGGTTGACCCGCCTATACTTCCTGCCTGGCCAATCAGCGTTTTATTAAAATACATGATTGACAGAATACAGATAATTCTCCCGCACCATCTGCTCACCCCAGAGAGGACACCAACAACTGATGAAGGAAATGATCCCATCAAAATTCAACTTGGCAAACCAATACATCAACTGGTGTTAGTTACAGGAGTATGGATGAGGGGTGGCGGAGAAGACTCAAAGGCAGCTACCTCGTCAAAATGCTAAATTGCCCCCTCCCCCCTTTAAAACTCAAGAAACGTGTATGCTTAGACTCTCTGCATGATTTGCAGGAAGCTCAACAGGTTGAAGAAATTCTTCTGCACTGCAGCTGTTACTCCTTCTATGACCTTGGGGAGGGACCTTAGGAACCTTTTGAGCTAAGCATAGGATCACTCATCGCTCCTGTGGTAAACATAGAACTCGTGAACCTTCAGCTGCGAATGGAATTCCCTTCCCTGCCAATCCCAGGACTTTCTGACTTATACCGAACTTTGCAAAACCACTCTAAAACTGTTAGATTATTATACAGTCTATGGAGGCTTGGTTTTTGCAAGTTTTGCAAAATCTACTTGGTACATAGACGTTTGTTGGATGCTGCAGCACTTCACGGTGTGGAAAATTGTAGCTATTGCAGATGGATCCCTAAGACTCCATTTATCTGGAGCAGAAGCACTAGGAAGTCCCTTCCATTCCTCAGAAAGAGCTGGTTAACCATGACATATGAAAGCATTTTAAGCAGTGGGTGGTATCTGGTTAAGTTCTCAATAAGGGCTAGGAACTAAAACTGAAATTCAGTGTGGCATCCTAAGTACTGCAAGTAAGAATCCTTAGGGTATCTTTTGCACGGTACTATAAATTCTATTGCCTCATATACCATTGAGAAGACATACACGAAAAGAGCTAACACTTGCTTCTGTTTTGTAGGAAAACCTAAAGGGATTTATGACCATTCCTAATTTATGTTCACTTACCTTTAATTTCTCAGTTCTGACTGAGAACAAGAGAACCTATGAGAGAACAAGACTTCAAATCTCCACCAAAAATGTGATGGTATAAATTAAGCTTCTGAAGCAACTACTGTGCGGGGGCATTTGATAAAGCCAGGATATTATTAGCAGTGTGTTAAGCCCCATGCAATAATTCCTTCATCCTTGACAGCCCATGTTTTAGACAATTACCATATCTTTTTATAATTAAAGCTAATCAAGCAGGAGTTTTTGATTTCCTACTATCAAAATGAATTCCATTTTATGTCTTATTGCTTAATTACAAGATATAAATCTTCCCTGCTGATAAAGATGTTTCATCACGGGAAGTCCAGCTTCGCAGTCTTTTTCATTTTCCGGCTAGGCCTGAAGCAGGAGTGACACCTGGTGGTGCCTGGGCTTAGCACATGCAGCTGTGCCCTTAGAATTATTTCTCATGTTTTAAGGCTTTTAGCTATTAAAAACAAAATAATATTATATTTAGGTAAATCATACAAAAGTTATTTAAAAATATTAGCTGGGCGGTGGAGGTGCACGCCTTAACTCCAGCCCTCGGGAGGCAAAGGCAGGTGGATTTCTGTGACTTTGAAGCCAGCCTGGTCTTCAGAGTGAGTTCCAGGACAGGCTCCAAAGCTACACAGAGAAAGCTTGTGTCAAAAAAACAAAAAATAAAAAATATAAAGTTAATAATAATAATTAAAGTGTGTTATGCAATGAAATTTTCAAAATATTCTCAGAGGAAATTGAATATAAAAGCTTAAAGTGACAGATTTATTTATTTATTTGGTTTTATTGCTAGAAGAGATAAAATCTGATTTTGCATAATAAAAAAGCATACTTCTTTCTGAAAATATGGATGCTTTGCAGATGATTCTTTCTACAAATCTTTTTTTTATTAAAAAAAACAGCAAGAAAAAAATCAAAGGTATAAAAACAATATGATTGGTACTGAACTCAGGGGGTGAGCTTGAACCTGTCTACAAGCTTTAGAAAGCACCGGTAAAGAAAACTCCACACTGACCTAAGCAAATGGACATAAGTGCAAGACGTAAGAAGAAAATTTCTTTGTGTAGAAATTCTCTTGTGGGCCTTGTGGGCTCATCTCTGTTTCTGTCCAGTGAAAGCTGGGAAAGCTAGGAGCAAGAGGGAGGAGCAAACCAGTTGCTGTCCAGTGATAAATGGTCAGCCCTGAAAACATACAGACATGTAGCATCACATGGACCGAACAGGTTGAATTTAGGAATATATATCTATACATATACAATATATGCTATTAACATATGCAATGTATGCATGCTTTAACAATTAATAAAAAAAAGAGGTCATAAATTTAAAGGGAAGCTGGGAGGGGTACATAGAAGCGTTTGGAGGGTAGGAAGAGATGGGAGAATTTAATAAAAGGAGGATTTCTTTTTTCCTGTAAAGATCAAGGTGTTGTGGAAAGACATTGAAGGAAAACGTAGCTGCTACTGTTTTGGAAGTCCTGGGATCCATGAGAATAACACAATAGGGAAAGTCGATGAAGAACTTCCTGAGAAGTCGAGCAGGAAGCAGGAGGGCGAAGGGATACTAAGCAGTAGGGGTTTTCTCCTCGATCTACACAAAGTACAATAGAGAACGGGATCATTCATGGGACTCACCTTGTTATTTAGGGATGTCAACAAGTAGGCGTAGGTGAGGCCATGTAAGTGCAGATACATATTTGCACATGCACATGCGACTCCTGCTGCAGAACAAGCACGATGTAGAGAATGTGATTAGGAACTATCACTGACTCAACCTGAGAAAAGGCACAGCGAAAAGGAAGAATAAAAAAATGACACCCAAAATCCATTCAAATTCCAGAAGTTTACTCTGGCAAATTGGGGGAAAGTGCTTGCTGATATCAGAGTAAAAATGATGTCAGGAATAAAATTAAAAAAAAAGTAGGAGAAGAAAACATTTTAGGAATAGGCTAATTACATTGGGAAGCCTAATATTCTTTAGGGATAAAACTAAGTCCGCAGAAAAGAGAACCTAGGATATCATGCCACAGCTAAGGATACCCATGGAAGACAAGGGGAAATGGCAGCTACTGATAACTTCAAAGATGAGAAAGTCAAAGTGAGTGTGTGTCTGTGTGTGTGTGTGTGTGTGTGTGTGTGTGTGTGTGTGTGTATAAATACAGATCTGGAGGCTGTGGAACAAAGTCAAAGGTGCAGTGATGTCATGGAAGCATTCATACTTGAATTTCCACACTAAGGCATCACTGCCTCCCAACTAAAAACCTACGCCACCTAACAAACTGTCCCCAGCATCATGTGTGAGTGTGCTAATGCTTCAGTTCTTTTGTTTCCTTTCTCAGTTCCCTAAGGGCCTCCTTAACAGGACCCTCAATCTTTCCTGTCACAGTACCATCTTTCAGATCAGCCACAGTCTCATGACCGCTACCATTTCCAAAAGAGCAGAAGGGACATCAGTCATTACATCTAGAGAAAAAGAGTTGTAACATGCCAACCCATTCCCAATGAGAGCAGCGGAACCTGTTACTGTCATCAGTAAAGGAGACAAACAACACAGTAACAATGTAACACTGTAACACACGAGAACCATCAGTGGATGCCAAGGTTTGCGGACAAAGTATAAAGGAAAAAGGACAGTCTTTGAGACAGTCCTCCTGTCCTTTTGAAAGACCTGGATAAATCCAGATCCCCCCTAGCAGGAAAAAATAGAGCCAAAAATCTAAGCAGGGAGGGAAGAATCAGAAATCTAGGATTAGCCGGTTCAGTTTCAGGAACTAACTGAAGATAAAGTTAGATTGTAATCTTGAGAATAATCTTGAGAAACAGGGAGTTGCCCCCTTGTGATTATCATTGGTATTTTTGGAATTTTCTATGATGCCCTCCCTACCCCTTTGGATCACTGGGCTGTGGTTTCTCCCCTTAAAAACCTCTTCTTCCAGTTACTTGGGGTCAAACTCCTCCCCTGCGTGGGTTTTGAGTCTCGGCCCCAGTGCACTGCTTCCTGTCATTAAACCTCATGTGATTGCAGCAAGGACGGTCTCTTGTGAGTTACTGGGTGGGTCGTGTTATCCCGAGACTTGAGTGAGAGTCTCCTCACACCGGGGGTCTTTCACTTTCAAAATGTTTATCAATTAAAAAGAAATGTACTGTTTTATGTATTTGAAGTTTCTTTATAATAAAGTTTACAAAATTAAAAATAAATAAAACACTGGGCGGTGGTGGCGGAGGCCTTTAATCCCTGCACTCGGGAGGCAGAGGCAGGCAGATCTCTGTGAGTTTGAGGCCAACCTGGTCTACAAGAGCTGGTTCCAGGACAGGTTCTAAAGGTACAGAGAAACCCAGTTTTGAAAAACCAAAATAGATAGATAGATAGATAGATAGATAGATAGATAGATAGATGATAGATAGATAGATAGATACATGATAGATAGATAGATAGATAGATAGATAGATAGATAGATAGATAGAT